AGTTGGCGGAGCTTACTCAACTGGGACCAAGCGTTTATGGATCCCACACATGTATCACTTGTTGGGGAGCTTTGAAATACAGTGTGCGGCAGAGAGGATGGTCGGTGTTAAAAAAATCATAAAATAGGTAATTTTTACTCGAAAACAAATTTATTGATGGAATTAGGTTCACAAGGAAGTAGCATTTGAGACAGTCAAGTGTGGAAAATCACATCAGGCATGTGGTGACCGAAATCGTTGATGCAGTGCTGGAGGCGTTCTTGGAAGTTCGCGTAGACTCTCTCCAACATCGCTCTCACAACTTGGGCGACTTCCACGCGAATTTCGCCCTTCAATTCGTCCAGAGTTCGGGGCTTGTTCGCGTATGCTCTAGCCTTGAGGTGTACCCATAAGAAAAACTCGCATATGGATAAATTGAGGACCGAGGAGGCCAATGAACATCGCCAAATCTGGAAATAAGGCGACCAGGGAAGAGAGGGCGAATAACGTCCTTGGATGCTCGGGCTGTGTGGGCGGTCGCCCCATCCTGCTGGAACCTCACACGTCGGATTGGAACACGTCGCCGTCGTAATTCAGGGAGAAAGAAGTTGGTGATCATATCGACGTAGCGCTCTGAGTTCACGGTAACATCACGACCAATACAGTCTTCGAAGAAGTAAGGGCCAATGATGCAAGTTTGCGATACAGCGCACCAAATAGTTACTTTTGGGCTGTGCAGCGGTTTTTCGTGTAACTGTTGCGGATTTTCATTAGCCCAATAACGACAATTCTGCTGGTTAACCATGCTGTTTAGGTGAAAGAGGGCTTCTGTTGATGAGTTCACCACGCCTGCGAAGTGATTCAACCCAACGAAGGATGGTGTTTCGAGAGGGAGCAGCTCTATTCCGATGAATGTTGAAGTGGCGACGAAACTCACGCTGTACGACGATGACTGACTCATTATGTCGGACGAAACAATCATAGGCGAAAACGCGGTGCTCCACCGTCCAAGGCTCCAAAACGACGACTGGTAAAATAATGCTAGGGTCTCACGAGTCAAACGGCACCCTCCCCACCTCTCTCGTAGACGGATGCGGAGAGTACTGCCCATCCCAAAAACGTCCGTCCCCTCTGCCGCACCCTGTATAATGATTAGCTGTTATTTAAATAATGTTTAATATAAATATAACCTAGAATGTGTACTCAGTGAAATAGTAAGTATTTGCAAATTCTAGTTTTTTCGTAGGGTTTAGGTTTGCCGGTAGCTTTACGACATATATGTGGGTATTTCTTAATCGCTGTAAATATAGTGTGGATGTTTGTTCAGCTCCTGAACAACGACAAATATTGGACTTTATGGATGTATGGCTATCAAAAATGCTGAGCGGTTTTGGTGGAATATCAATCTAAGGTGCTATAATGGTACTGATGAACGGCAAGACAATGAATGAATATTTGGAAACGAGCAATATCTATGAAATTTTTTGTAGAGCCTATCGTCAAGTAGGTGCTTAGTGGCTATCTGCATGAGTTTTATAGGAAAAAACACACGGTAGGTGATGTCAAATCATTAAAATCGCAAATCAATTGAAGAAGGCAATACGAGTATTAACATGAATCAATAATCGACAATATTAGAAAAAAACATGAATTTTGTTAAAAAATCATACACATTCTTAAATTTTCGCTGAATTATATCGCTCATCCGGAGGAAAACCGTCACAACTCAAAAAGTGTATATTTTACAGTAGGACAGTTTGAAAATTCTGATTTAGTTTTTTTATAACATTTTCGGTTTAACTATTTCATGAGTGCTAGGAATATGTTTTTATTAAAACGTTGATGCCAAGCAAACGTTTACGATTTTGCAAACCCTTTACTATATACATATTTAGGCAAAAAATATCGGAGATGACACTTTTCTTCCAAAACATTGGGGAAAAAAGGTAGGTACCAAGTTAAAACTAGCAAGCATTGTGATTTTAATTTTTAATGGAGAAATGAAAATAACATTTCATTCTTTAGAGTTAGAAACATAAACATAAATTTAACTTAAACGCTTGTGATCAACACACTCTTAACTACTAACTTTTCAAAATAGGCTCTTTTCACCGCTATAGCTGGTTCTTTGAAACATTTTATGTAAGTTGTTTTTCTGTCTATAGCAGTCACCTATCCATTTTCGTCAAAAAGGAACATTTTAGGTTAGTTAAATATATAAGAAATCAAGTGGACAAAAAATAAGATATAAAGGGTAGATTAAATATTTTTGTAATATTCTAAATAAATTCTTGGAACTGTAGCCTTTTTGGGATTTCTGAATAAAGATAAGAGGGAATCTTTCTTTTTTCCGAAATTCCAGGTTTTTTGACAAAGGCCGTCTTTAACGCAACTTGATTACAAATGTTAGAACGCTTACTAGGTTTGGAATTTTTCCTTACGTTTTTTATATTTTTAGATCTAAACTCATCATCATCATACGAATACTTGAAAAAAACTGTATTTGGATTTTGTTTTTGCATGAAAATAATTTTTACGTCAGATATTTTAAAGACATCTCCGCTTGTATCTCTATTAAAATTGATAAATCCCCAATCAGATTAAAGAGCCTTCAAATCAAAAATATCAGCATAGCAGATTTCATTCACTGTAAACGGGTTACCAGTTTTCTTCGCTGTCTTTATAATGGCATAATATTGCTCTGGAATATAAAGTGGCCCAGATTTCAGACTGCGCTTTATCTGCCGCTCAGTCACGGAATGCGCTCCATCACCTCCATCACGTCCATTCTGGCTGTGTCCAGTTATCAGGTGTGTTATAGTATTGATACATATGAAGAAAGATACTGCATGTAAGTATAACGAAACAATAAAACGGTTTTTTTGCTGCCCTCCGCAATTACCTGAATAAAAAACGACATCAACTGTCTTGTTTTCTGACTGAGCTTTTATATTAATCATCTCTAAGGCCCATATCATCAGTCGTCCCTACAATTGTAGGGCGCGTTTATGGCCTCCTTGATTGTCATACTCGTTTCTCTCCTTCAAAAATTTCTAGATTACACTTGTCCCGTGTCAGCGTCAGCGCTCTCCTATTGTGAAGATATGTTTTCCTTTTAAATTTTAGGAAATTTCAGGCTGATCAAACATGATATAACTCAAAAGCAAGCACAATTTGATACAAACAGATGTTTGTGACATAACCTCAAAATAGAGCGCTGACACGGAGAACTAGAAAACTATGACAATCAAGGAGGCCATAAAGGCGCCCTACAATTATTGTAGGGACGACTGACGATACGGGCCTTAATACCTGAAAATACACGTGCCAATTTCGTTAGCTCCTCTAAGGCCCGTATCGTCAGTCGTCCCTACAATTGTAGGGCGCCTTTATGGCCTCCTTGATTGTCATGGTTTTCTACTTCTCCGTGTCAGTGCTCTATTTTGAGGTTATGTCACAAACATCTATTTGCATCAAATTGTGCTTGCTTTTGAGTTATATCATGTTTTATCAGCCTGAAATTTCCTACAATTTCTTTTTAAATTATGATATAACTCAAAAGCAAGCACAATTTGATGCAAATAGATGTTTGTGACATAACCTCAAAATAGAGCGCTGAGACGGAGAAGTAGAAAACTATGACAATCAAGGAGGCCATAAAGGCGCCCTACAATTGTAGGGACGACTGACGATACGGGCCTTAATACCTGAAAATACACGTGCCAATTTCGTTAGGTCCTCTTAGGCCCGTATCGTCAGTCGTCCCTACAATTGTAGGGCGCCTTTATGGCCTCCTTGATTGTCATGGTTTTCTACTTCTCCGTGTCAGTGCTCTATTTTGAGGTTATGTCACAAACATCTATTTGCATCAAATTGTGCTTGCTTTTGAGTTATATCATGCTTTATCAGCCTGAAATTTCCTACAATTTCTTTTTAAATTATGATATAACTCAAAAGCAAGCACAATTTGATGCAAATAGATGTTTATGACATAACTTCAAAATAGAGCTCTGACATGGAGAAGTATAAAACTATGACAATCAAGGAGGCCATAAACGCCCCCTACAATTGTAGGGACGACTGACGATACGGGCCTTAGTGCTTGGCCTTCATGACAAACATAACACTCGACATCCTTAGTGTGTAGATCAAATATTGTTAAATCGTAGCAATTTGATTTTGAGACATAGTAAAAATTACTAGTATTGCCTTTCGGACATGGAAGAGTGGCTTGTAGATCATAGACAGCCAGAACTTTATCTAATTTTTTATCCTTTTCTTTTTCTTGCCTTGCCAATTCCTTTTCCCTATGATGTTGGTTGTACTCTTTAGCATGCAAGGCTTTTTCATCATCATTCATATTTTGAAAACTGATCTAGTAGTCGGATTGGTCTTTTTTGGGGAAAAAATGTAATTGAATTCTTGATTGAATACTTTTGCATAGAAATTATAATTTCCACTTTCCAAACCTTTTTCTCTGCAGTCATTTTGATAGTCTCGATGTAAATCTGCAATAGTTTTTCCTCCTTCTATAAATTGCTTACTCGTATTTGATCTTGTATAATGACTTTCAATGTTTGGAATCCTCTTTATGTAATTCCGGATGTCTTCCTTAATAGATTCATGTATTCGGAAACAATTGCTATGTTTACCTCGCAAATCCAGCTCTATTATGCCTCTATTAAAGTTTTGCTTTTCTTAAAAGAAACGGTTCGTATTGGTCGATCATTAATAGATAAAGTCGCTTTAAAAAATACTTTGCAAACCCTTACTTTTTGTTCTTTGATGACAAAATAGAATGCATTATTTTGACTAGGATGCGAGTCTTCCTTCTTACACTTGTATTTGGGAATAACTAAGGACATGCAATTGGATAAGTAATCCCTTTGCCTTTTTAAATCACCAAGATTCCAATATTCTGCAAATACATTTTGCTGTTCTTCATGCGAAATTTTTTGGCTACATTTTAATCTGCATTTATCACCACAGCCTGGCTGAAGTCTATTTTCTGCTACTACTTTCTATAATTTTGAAACGGAATTTCTCAATTTCTTTGCAGAATTTTTACGCCAATTTTCAGGATTTCTTGATCTTTTTCTTGCAATTTCTTGAGAGTCATTAAAATTAACTACCCTTCGATGCTTCTTTTCCTCGCTCTTGTTACTTGAGTTAATATCATTTTCAACAGACGATGAACTGTTAGTTTCACTGCCGCTGGAAAAGGTAGACGAAAAGTAATCAGGATCAGCTGTAGAGTCGTCAGAGACAAATGGCTCCAAAAATTTTTCACTGCCATCATCACAGGTCGTTTTAATTTGTGTATGTTCTTGTTGGATAGGAGCACCTAAACTGTCAGGACCTACTTCATAGTACCCATCAAAAACATTTTGCGGCAGGTCGGATATTTTGGCATCACGTTTTTGTGACGTGTTATGTTGTATTTTTGACTGCGTATCAACTATTAGGCTACAACTGGATTGATTGGCTATTTTATGTTTTGCACCTGCTTTCTGGATCAATGTGTTGAAGCTATCCAAATGGATTGGTTCATCTTTGAAGCTTTGTAGTTGTCTATATTCGTTTTTTGCTGTAACAGTCTGATCTAATAGATCAACTTGCAGAATCGATTCTTGAGTAGTGCTGGTGTGGAACGAATTACTTGTTTCAACTTGCTTGTTGGCTTGACCGACTAAGACCTCAGGGTTTTCCGCAGAGGCTTGTGAAACTTCTGAGTTACTTTGTTCTGGATTACTGCCCACTACAATTGCTGACTTCTGTGGCCTCTTTTGATCAGTCCTTGCTTGCTCCATGATCCACACCGTTCGATTTCGGTAAGACATCTCTGAAAAGGAAAAAATATAAAGTGCTCTTTCATGGTATTTTAATTCAAATTAGATTTGAGCAGTGAAAACTGGAAAACTGAAAATCATTGGTACTTTTATGAAGGTAATTATATTTTTTGTATGTAACAAGTAGGTAAACGTGATTTTATGAGCGCTATGTTTCACGATATTGAGTGAATTTTTGTTGAAAATTATAAACTAAATTTTAATGAATATATCTATAGGAGGAAAGTGTCACAACTTCATATAATACCATCTCTTAACATAATATGTTTAGTAGAATATTGACACTTTCCAGAATAATACACAGGAACTGATATATAGTTCGTGTCGTTTCCAAAGAAAAGCGTCATATCTCAAAATATTGCTGCACAGGACCAAGTTATATAGTGGAAAACCGCCACATATTAAAATGTGACGGTATTGACTCAAAATAATAATCATCAAGAAAACGACACAAAAAGAAATAATACAGCTTTCCTGTGAACTGTGTTTGAAGCTTCCTGTTACTAACTCGAAATAAGACGTTTTTCGTCCGACACTTTGGTTTCGAAGCCTCATCAACGTTTAGTCAGAGGAAAAGTGACACTCGACGCCATCTAGCGTAAAATAGTAGAAGCTCAGATGAGACGTTTTTCCAGTAAAAAATGTAGTTTATTCAGCATTTGTTTTGGTGAAAAAGCGTATTTTAATATTTTTTGAGTTGTGACGGTTTTCCTCCGGATGAGCGATATCTAATTTATCAATATTCAATAAGCTGGTGATGTTTCAATGACAAGCTGTCATCTCTTACTTTGACAATATTATCTTTTCAACATTTCGTAGCTATTGGTTGCTAAAATTTGTTGAATCAAACTTGAAGCTCATTCGCTGTACTCGACGGACTGTTACCCTATAGGCGGAAAATAAAGGACTGTTGATCTGACAATCTTGGTGAAATCCACCCTTAAAGGATTACTATTTACATTGAAAGATAGTTACTCCTAGCAATCCAATTTACTCCATGATTCCAGTTCGATATTCCTCTCCACCGTGCTCCATTATATCAAAGATATTTCACATAGAATGCTATTCGGTTTCTTACATAGTTCACTCAGTACCGTATGTCAAGCAAATGGGTATTCTGCAACATTTTCAAAAACCTCACAGATACCAGCAACCTGAAATTTTAACTATTTTCATATGTTCTCACATGGACCCTGGTCCTTTTTTCTAAGATATTTCATTCCTTGGAATTTTTTCTGTTCCTTACTAGTCAAATGCGTCAAGTGACATGATACACTAGTAATATCAGTAAAAATAGATAGCGGGAGTCAGAAGTTAGTGTAAAATGGGTAGTTTGATAAATCTTTCCTTTTCTAATGCTTCTGGTACCTGTTTAGTGTTCACTCATATTTTACAGTTGATTTGCGCTCTTTTCATCAATTGATTGACCAATTGATAAAAACCCGTCTTGAACCTGCCTTTTGCTGAAGTATATAAAGTGCGATGAATTGAATGAATAAACTGTATTCTGAACTGTTAACTCTGGCCATGCTACGTTCCAGTAAGCGAACCCAAAGTGTCCCGATGCTTATCATTGAAGAGGGAGCAAGCTTGTGATCCCCGATGATATATGGTTATCAGATAACCTCCTGAATGGGATATTTTTTGCGCATACGAACGTTGACCTAGGAATTAAGTAAGTGCTTCGGCAAATCTCACATTTCTGGAAGTGACTTGGATGCCTTTATCCAGGATGAAAAAGTATATCCGATGAAAATTACGAGGGTTGATCTCTATGCTTCCTGCACCTGACCCCTTTGCAGTTGCTCACTCAATAGATGTTGTGTGAGGGACGGTGCATGCTTGTATCTAGATTGATCTAGGCCTGTTGCAATACTAACGTTTCAATTATCCATCTCAACGAAAGTAATATGTACATTAAAGTGAAAGAATGATCGGTGCCATCTGATATCCAAGTAATTGTGAATCTAAGACGAATATCAAGAGCTAAGAGAAGCTGGCTGAAATATGTGGCATCGTGAATTCATGGTGAGAAGGCTAAGTCTATCTCACTATTAGTATTATTAGCTACCACGATTTGAATTAGTATTCAATGCCAGCAGGACAAGAATGAGCGGCTGCGATGTTCAAAAATCTAGAAATACTTAAACAATCAAAAGTGAAACGTACAGGTGGGTATGAAGATTGCCAGTATGGCGTCTAGCGCAATCAGATCCACCAATCAATATAATGGTGACCTGGTGGCTTCGGCATAATCAATGCAAAAAACGCATAAGGGCAGTTACACAAGGGTAGTCTGATATCTCTTAGAATTAATGTCGGTGATAAATTTAATGCGACAAAATTATATGTGGAAACACCATATTTTATTCTATACTCAACGCCAAAAGGAAATCGCCTGACTACCCTGGAGAAACATTCAGAATAGCTAAATCAATGTAAAACAAAACATTTGCGAATTTGCAATCAGTAACTATGTCCAATAAAGTGATAACATACAGAGAAATCCAAATATCGCTGACGGGGTAACATAATATAGTACGATAGAATGAGTGCGCCGACCGGCAACTCTGCAAGCCGCAGCTGCATTCCTAGCCTCCTCAGTCGGGTTGCTAGGCAACGTGGTACTTCTATATCTTCCTAAAATACGAATTGCACGCTTCTCGTGCTCCTCTCTCGTACACATTACGACATCAGTGATATATGGATTTCTCGGTATAAATATAGGTCATATAGAGCTTTAGTCTAAGACCAAATGTGAAATGAGTGATCAAGTTTATCAAAAAATTAGGAAAACCAGAATAATGTACAGCGGAATATAGATTATCGTCATTAAGAATATCCGGAACTAAATCATTTGTGTACAAATAGAAGAGGAAAATTAAAGCGGGCACACTAAAATTGTAAATTTTTTAGATTGCGTCGATTATGAGTCTAGAGGTTTCCAAATTACAACAGCGTTTTGAATCCCTTTTAAAGCTGAAATTACGCAAGGGCTTCTTCAAGATTAGTGTAGCGATAAGGGTCAAACAATGTTCATACAAGTGAAGATGTACTTCTGCGTAAGCACCGTACTTACGTGTAAACGTAATGTGAATTAGAATACTGCAGATTTAACTTGTCAGAGAACAAAAATGCTATGTTACATCTATAAAAATTACTTTCTTTAATCACCTATGCACGATTTATATCCAACACAGGGTTGATGTTAATAAATTAACCACAATCCAATTATAATTCCCAACTAACTATTTAATGAACGAGATGTCTATATGAAATAGCTGGGCTACATAGGGAACGGAAACGACTCGTGGTAGGTACTCCTATTTAAATATGTCTCGGATACGCGCTCTACGAGTTTCACCATTCACTGCTCGAAAAATTGTTAGAATAAAACGTATTCATAAAAGTGGTCATACATATGTTACATTACGTGTTGTGAAATGCAGATATTACGTTGATATACACGAAATATCCAATTTGATAATTCCAAAACTTTGAACTAGTTGATGAATTTCGACAGTAGCAGGTGCTGACAGTAAAACAAGTCATCCCATTAGGTTATCTTAACATAATATGAGTTTATATATAATTTTTGTGATGATGTGCATGCTGGTTCATGCGTGATAGAGTATTTTAATTGAAATGGATCCTATTAAGCAGAGAGTCGTAATAAAGCATATGCAATTAGGGTATAGTGCCGCCAATTTGACCAAGTCATTGTAACGACCATTGGAGCGTGTATAACTTCTTAGAATACCTATAATAACATCTCCAAATTTTTAAGGCGAAAATATATCTTGCGACTACGCACATGGCGGTGTGCTAAATGTAACATTATAAAAGCCCATCATATGGTGTTTCAGGACAGGTGTGATGCACTATAAGGACATATTATACAAGCTTAATATCGAAATAAGGAGATATCCTTGAAGAAAAGCGTCGATAGAAGTTACCAAGTGGCATACTGTTTCACTCACAGCCGTACATTCTGCATTCTGCATTTCTGAGTTATACACCAAGCAGGCTTTGCCTGGCCGAATATCGACCGTATTCACCAGATCTGGGCAAATAATTTCAGGCTTCTCCTAAATCTAAAATAACGTTCACAAGAAAAAAAAATCAAGTGGTCAACAGATGATATTTCCAGTAGAGAACTGGTTTCTAAAAGCCGGACAAAATGTATTTCGGAAAGCTATCGGAACGATAGAACAACTATTGAACAGGTATCTTGTTCTTACTAGGTATTATATAGCTTGCTAGTATGTGAAGAACGGAGCGGACCCTCGTACATCTGGTGAGCGTTATATCCGGAAACGCTAAATCCTCATATCAAGATTGCGTCTTTTTCTCAGTTGTGATAAGCGACGCATATCGCCTGATTTATTGCTTCGTATTATAACTTGATAGCTTGTCCCTTATTTTGCGAAACTCGCAGGGCCGGAAAACGCCTTTTCAATCTGCCCCGAAAAGCATTTGTAATGTGTATCCATATATTTGTAAAGGAATTTTTTAGCAATCAGCTCCTGCCAGAAAAGCAAAATCTAAACACCAGAAAACTGCAATCATTTGGTTTGCTATCTGCCATCCTAACTGCAAAAGTTTGGGCAGCGCTTCTTAATGCCCCCCACTTTGATGCTTCTTATGATGACTTATCCAAGGAATACAAACCTCTCTATGGCGGGATATCATTATTTTTTCTTCCAAGACGTTGCCCAGCCTTCAACAAATTTCTGATGATCTTGGATTATAATCTTTGACTGAACTATACTTTAGCGCATATCGCAAATATTTTATTTATTTTAAAATGAAAGATTAGGGTGCAACTTGCGCGAAAATATCATTTTTTCTTTAGGGAACCCTCTGCTTGCTATATTATAGAACTTCAAAGTTGCATTTTTGGTGCTAATACTGTGTTTTTTTTTATACTCCAACTACCACGAAGGCCTAAGGCCTAAGCACCCACTGGGTACCGTGGGGCTATAGGGGGATACACGAGAAAGGGGGGGGGGGACGCCACACGGACTCTGGCGAGGGAACACGTGTGCATGCAACATGCACACATTCTGGCCCCGCCTACGAGAACCGCCGGGTGGTACCTCCGCGTTCGACAGTCAGAGACCATCTTCCACCTACGGACAATCACAACATCCATAGCCAAGAGAAAAATTTCTCCTGGGACGGGACTCGAACCCGCACAGCGCACGGCGACTGATCAGGAGACCGAAGAGTCTACTACTGCGGCCACCGCTGCTGCCTATAGAAGGTAGGTGGTATAGAATACTGCTTTATAAGCTGTTTTCTTCTTGTTTATGCGAAAGATTGTTCAAAATTATATGAATATAACATACACTGTAAGTTACTGTGATAATGTTCATCGCAATAATGCAATTTTGCATTATTTTAGTGGTGAAAATAGTTCATTGCTAAGTAGTCATTTCCTTTATTTCAGATAATTATTCCCATCACTACACCACCGTCACTGTCATATTCTCTCCATCTCGCTGCGATGTTGCCAAATCATGGGTAGTAATATACCTTAATTTGGTTTGGAAAATTCTTACTTATATACTAGCACAAAAATGTGCAGTCGGCACAGGATTATCATGGAAATGCGATTTGGAGGTGTGGCCTGCAGGTTTTACTGTACTAAATCCACCTTGTGCCCTACGATAGCATTAGCTAAAGAGACTTTTTTGAAGAATGCCTTATGCCCTTCACAAACATACTTTGGTTATTGTATGTATGTACTTGAAGAATTATTCAAAGTCAAGCCGATGTTACAACATGTACCTAATTAAATGTGAGATATATGAGAAATAACTGAAAAAGTAGCTGTTGCAAATCACTAAGTAATGAAAACATAACAAAGAACATTGTACGTTTTTGGACGATTTGATGAAATAGTCGTAGATCTTTATTTAAGTATAATGTTAGACGATGATGGGTGGACCTGGCGAGGTGGTCCAAGTCGATTAATAGACACAAACTGTTCAAAATTCAATCTAGTTTTTGGTAAATATTGGGACAACTTTTCATGAAACAAGCCATTTACAATAAATTAAGACTTTTATTTTGCAAATAACCTCATTTCTAATTACGTATTTCTCCCAATAAAGGTACAACTTGGCAACAATGGACATCATTTATCTTATCTGTCAAGAAATGAGCGTTATAAAATTGAGAACTGTTTGTACTTTCAAATGTTTCTTATAAACGCAAAAACTTTGATCTCATTGAAAATACGCGAAAAAAATGGTTGTGGAATTTCAAGAAGCCATTGAAAAATTACAAAACAACACCTCTACACAGTTTACCAAGTAAATACTATCATTTGCGTATGCATTTTTATCTGTTATTTAAGCGAATAAGCTTATATGTAATAACACGTCTGGTTTTGAACCTTTTTTTGCGAAAACAACGATTTTTTACAGCTTCACATCTATTTTCTTTAGTACTATACAGTGTATGTTATTTTCTTATAATTTATAGCATCCTTTTGTACAAAAAGCAAAAAATACAGCATATAAAACAGTATTCTATTCTAGAGTATTACCACCAAAAATGCAACTTCGAAGTTCTATAAAATAGCAAGCAGAGGGTTCCTTAAAAAAAAAATGATATTTTCGTAAAAGTTACATCCTACTCTTTCATTTTAAAGTAATAAATGAAGTATTTGCGATATGCGCTAAAGTGAAGTCTTACCTAATCTTTTTATAAATGTTTTCATTTCTTACGTCAGGAATAAAATTACTTCTCGACTTTTTCACGTTATATTTCCTCAAAACTTACTTTTAGCCTCCACAAAACCCCAACGTCATTCATAAACCCCAGTGATATGTGAATGTAACTTTCTAGAGAACTCAAGAATTCTACAGATTTAGCGTAACATCCAAAGATCTAGCGACAAGCGAGACTGATAGATATCTGACACTCAACTGACAGAACAACTAACCTAGTACTTGACAGCTAACGGACAACATACCTTACATACAATTTGACAACAGATGACAGAACTGAAGCTGTGACCTGCTACTATAGTGAGTGCTACACTCTTCCCCCTCTTGCGTTCGACGTTCTCGGCTGTCCTTTTGCATCCTGGAGACCATGTAGCACTTGACCACTACAGGGGGGCCTTATCAATGTCTCTGGAGTGTTGTGAAGAATTTTTTACCAGTAGCATTCGTCGTATCTAGCTTTCATTCTGTCACTGACAGACTTGATGTATCTATACACTCATGGATATCCAAAGAACTTCCTGAAGCTCACTCAACCATTCAGACGCAGGAAGGGGAAATATGCCAGGTGGTGGACCAAGAAGTAAGTCCAGAGGCAGTCACTGTTTTCCGTCCAAACATTATCTTTCCTGGGGGGAATTGCATAGATACATATACTGTATATCTTTAGGACCACACTTTTAATGGTTTATAGGTCATTCTGATGTTCATCTAAAAAGTTTTACACATAATCCAGTATTGTCTTAGTGGAGCGGTCCACCATGCCATCAGACTGAGGGAGAAGAGCAGGTGCCCTTGTCTGCCGAATTTCAAAGTTCTTAATAAATTGACTAAAAACCTGAAATTCAAAAATTCGATCGTGATCCGAGTGTAGATATCTAGGAACTTCAAATCTCAAAATAACACGTTGTGAGGAGAGTGAGGAGGGGTAGAGCCTGTACTACCGTCTCTGTTTCCTGATTCGGCACTCGAATTGCATCTGGTCACTTGGTAAAGTAATCCATTACCTGTTTCCTAGGCTGGATGTTGGTAGAGGACCTAAAATGTAAATGTCATTCCTCCCTAATGGTGCATCATCATTATACTACCATGCTAGGCACGAAAGGGGTATATGTAGCTAAAATTCAACCGAGACAGGCATCCAAAGTGTTAAAGACCTTCAATCACATAAATAGTTAGGTAACAAATTATGTTTAACTCGAAAACTTAACAGATACACGTTAAACATAACCCTTTGTTTCACAGACAACATATTTAGGACACTCAACATACATTCAATAGACCAAAGACTGGCAGTAGATAATCGTTATTGATGCACTCACAAGAAACCTAATCTAAACCTACATTCAATTGGCGTATACCAGTTACATTTTAAAGTCTGTCTCTCTGTCTCTGTTTTGTATTTCCTCCTTTTGATTTATTTTATACTGTGGCAGATTAAACAATAAAGTGGAAAAAAACTGTAAATGTGGAAGAGCAATAATATTATAAAGTTGTAATTTTGTATGCATGGTTAAATTTTTACCTATTCGAGTTATAAAACCGACTTTTTAGAAAATTTTCGCATTATATTGTTGGCATGAGCTTAAAAGTTTAAATTACAATTCAATGTAATGCCTAAGTATTTAATTTCCCCATTCACTGCAATGAGCAAATTTTGGATTTCCGCTTCCCTAAGTTTAGATTTCTTACTAAATATGCAAAACTTCGATTTATCCGTATTCATAGTTTGTTAACACAGTCAATTAAAAATTCGTTCTAAATCATTATTTAGATCTTTCTGCATTTGTTGTAAGTCTTTACTTATAATATAAAGCATTGTGTCCTAAGCAAAAATAATAATTTTACACTTTCTTGTTACTCTAACCATATCATCGATATATTTTAAAAATAACAACAGCCTCAAAACCGTTCCTTGCGGTACACCATATTTAACATTAACAGGCTCGGACAGACAATCCTTATAAGATACTCGTTGAACTCTATTATACAAATATGACATAAACCACTTTCGAACAGTATGCTTGATTCCTGTTTGCTCATGTTGTGTAATTGCTCCAAGATCACTCTCCCAAACATCCTTGGCAACAGCAATTTACGTTTGCCCGCCTTTCATCAGCGATCTCCCAAATGCGTTACATTAGATTATCATACATTAGATCAGTCTTATCATGACAACATTTTACTATGGGGCTCACAGCCGATATTTCCTGCACACTGAGCTTCCCTTTTTTCAATTGCCGTGAAATAACTTTAGTTCAGAATCTTCTGAATAAACTTGCTTAAGATCCTCTAAGGAATATTTACGGTGCGTTCTGTTGTTCCTCTATCTTTTTGGGGTTCCCTTCTTCAGCCTTGCATCGTTCCTTTAAATATAGATTTTCCTAGAGTTCCCGCCGACTCTTTTCTTTAGCCTGGTGTCTCACTTCTGCCGTTTCTTTCTTCACACGTTCTTTCTCTTTCATTTCCTGCTACTTTAGTTCCTGTTTTCGCTTCCACCTTTTCTGACTCAAGCTCCGATTCTAGAACGACTTTGACCTTATTTGCTCCTGTCTAAGTTATTTTGGGGCTTTCTTCGTGACACCCAACCAAATCTGACCGGCTCCAATTCAGTGTTTGTGTTCGCAAATGTCCTTTTTGTCCATACCTTCAGAAAGTAAACTAGTCCAAGCGTTATGCAGACGAACAACCTAGTCGATTTCTTGGACCGAGCATTCCTGTATAGTATTGGGGCACAGATCTTGGGTATTGACAACTTAAAAGCACGTTGTACATCAACGTCAGTCATCTTATCAACAAAATGATCTTCTTGAAGCCTTGGATTCTAAATCCAAAATGGCGGCTGTCGTGAAGTGGCTTGAAGAGAGAAGCATAATGAGCATAGTGATGAAATTCTGAATCTAATGCAAATTATAGTCACCCTTATCATATTATAGGTATCAAGTGGAAGGGCTTGAGGGTAGAAACATTATAAGCATAGTGACGTCAATGCGGTGGCCACCACAAAATAAAAATTTACATTTTTCACAGTAACCCTCATGATACGAGGATGAGAAAAACGCAAACAGGCATAGTGACGCCATTCCAAATTCAATATGGCGACCGCACAAAGATAGCGTCTTTAACCAATATAATCAGCTCTATAATATAGGTATCAAACTAAAGGGCTCTATGAGAGAAACATTACAAGCTTCGATGTCATTCTAAATAGAATATCCATCGAAGAACGGTGATTTATAATTTCCAGTGTCACTCCCATCCTATATGTATCAAATGGAAGGGTTTGATTAGGGAAACAGTATAAGCAAATAACGTCATTTCAAATTCCATATTACGATGGCCGCAAAATATTGATTTAACATTAAATATCTCATTATACAGAAATTACTAAACTAGTTATTTGACATCATAAATACTGAAAAGTAAAAAATTAGTGAAGTGGAAAAATACCGTTTTGAAAATAAGCTGCTCATAAAATGAACAAAAATATTTTATCGTATTGGAAGTATATGAAAAATAATGAAACTCCTTCATCTCAAGTTTTCAAATAAAATCGTGTTAAAATCTTTTTCCATCATGCTGTCGAAACGTAACACGCTGTCATTTGAAAACTTAGAGGAGCTACATTATCGTTTTATTATTTCCAATAGGAACAAGGTACTTTTAAATTACTCTCTGTTGCTTCTTTCTGCGATAGCCATCTTCGCTGGCGCTTCAATCGAGGACTAAGCGTTCCACGTGGTGACTCGTTGGCGAGTGACGCCGTTTCTGGTGGTACCTGCTTATTTACCTATTCTCGGCGGGCTTAGGACTGAACGGTGGGATTTCCAACACTTTTGGCCTCTTTGTGGTTGTTTTGCTCGAATCTTCTGTTACATATATTCCTTCATATTTTCGGTTGAAATTGTTCCTTTGTTTTTGAATAGCCTCGTGGAATAATGTGTTGTGCCCGATATTTCAGTTTTGCCAAAGAGAGCATTATGGTCGTCTTGAGTGAGGACGTCTTCTGCCACGGCCGATTTTTCTGTTTGTCCCAGTTGCAGTTGCATCTATGTTCTTTTATCCTGGTGTTAACACTTCTCGTCGTAGTTCCGTAGTTCAATTTTCTTAGTTGGTTTGTAGATCGTTTCATGCTATGTTTGGATATTATCTTTCCCATTCTACCCGTTATTCCTAAGAGTTTGTTAGGGAGGCCATTCCTTGTAATGATTCGATCTCTCGCGTTCTGGCTTTCCGTGTTCTACTACTTTTTGGACCTAGTGCCCGGTTTATTTTGGAACCCTTTGATTGTAAAACATCACTTAAGTGTTTGAGTTCTTGCTTTAAGTGCTGAGGTGCACAGATCCTCGTAGTCCTGTCTATCCAAGGTTTTGATAACCTCTCTCTTTTACAGTAGATGGTGGTTTGAGTCCTTGTTTAAGTAAATGTCCGTGTTCGTGGCTTTACGGTACACTTTTTGGCCTAGCTGGAGGTTATCCTGTCTTGTCACTAAAACGTCCAGTAACGATAATTGTTTGTTCTGTTCGGTCTTCATGGTGAACTGGATTTTGGAGTGGATGTTATTAATATGTTTTAAAAAGGTTTGCAGTTCCGTATCTCCGTGACTCCAGATTATAAAGGTATTGTCTACGTAGCATAGCTTGCTGCTCGGGCGTTTTGAAGCCGTTGCCAGGGCTCTTTCAAACTTTTCCATATAAAAGTTCATTTTACGGGGCTCGGTAGGCTTCCCATTGCGACGCCGTCTTTCTGCTAGTAAGAACGTTGGTTCCACTAGAAATAGGTGGTCGTTTAAGTATGGCGAAACAAAGACAATATTTATTCAGGTAGGACTCCGTTCAGGTAGTTAAGGGCTTGCTACCAGTATGCCTCCCCCGAGTTAGAGTTATGCTGTGGCTTTTCTATGGTAACGCTATTTCCTCGGGGTCAATAATTGGCGAACTATCTGCCTCTCTAGCTCAGCAACCTCTCGGGCGCCAGCCAGACTGAAACGGTCACCTGGGCAGCCCCAGTAAAGAAAATAATTCAGGGATTTGATGCTTCACGCTCAAAGGGTCAGACTCGAGATACTTACTGTTTACTTTCTACTTCTAATAATTCCCTTTTTGTATCTCTTACTTCAGGCAGGACTGTATTTGTGATTAAAAGCAAGACTTATAACACAACCTGGTATATTAACAGAAAATATATACACATCATGCACGGTCGGGATATCTCAAGTTATATGTACAAATGAGAGAAATCCCTATCTGAATCTAGCTACCCTAGCGATAGAGCGGAGAAGGAGGACAATCGGTTAACTCGTGATCGAACGGAATCAAAAGCGGTTAAAAATCAATGGTTAAAGCGGACGCAGTATGCGGTCAAGCTAGCAAGCGGTAATGGTGCGATGCGATAAGCCCAAAGCGATGAACGGTTTTCAGCAATATGGATATGTTTGGTTGTAGAATAAGGCCAGGCGTTTAGTTAACCCGCGTCTACTTCAATCTCTGTTTGTCTCGTTCTCGCTTGGATTTGAATCTGCGCCTCAGGGAAGTAAGCATGCTGCAGACAAATATGTTCCTCCCTGACTTGCTTCTTGAACCCCAAAGCAATTATAAAAGTCTTAAAATCAAGCCGCGTACTATCGCTAATGGACCTTTAAACTAAACTAAACTAATAGCTCATGAATGTGTTTACCAAACGTTTAAAAAAACAGTAATATCGTAGACGCACCATTTTGTGACACAATGACTCCTATAAAACACTTTTGTATATCTGGAACTTTGCTGGGATATAATGATCACAATTAGATATTTGTACGTATCTTTCTATAGTTCTGGGACCTTCAGGGACGTAGAAGTATATTATATATAATTTGCCAGGCCAACCAAAAAGAAAAACACCTTTTGTTTCGGCTTTCAGTTTCCTAACATAGAACTTCACTGCGTGATTGACATTAGTGTTAAGTCAGTACATATTCCAGACAGTCGCCAGGTGTACCGAGCTTCCACTAGTCCCTTCCGAGAACTCGATGAATAACTTATGTGGGAGTCGGGGATACCTAGCTCAATCGGGAATATCCTGATCTCACTGGCTTTCGCAATTACAACCGAGTAAGGCCTGCCTCACTAGTCACTTTCGAGAACTCGGTGTCTAACTTGCGAGGGAGGGGGTCGTACTCAGTGAAATTGAGGATACGGCCGGGTAGATGCGGTTGGGTATGTCGAATCACCAGTCGGATGTATAAATATGTGCAAATAATCTACAATAAAAGCGCTTATGGAGGTCCCAGAGTACAACACTGGTGCACAAAGTCTACCTACTTGACACAAGTCAGCTCTCAAAGTGCCCAAACTAAGAGCTATAGACCAAACGGGACGGTACGGTTCGGCATTCTGTCGGTATTCGGTTAGATTTGTTTCACCGGTCAACTTTTATTTGCCACCAGAGAAGTCCACTAGGGCCATCGTAGGCTTAGACCACGTTCAAACGTAGGTATCAAGATTTAATAAGAAATATCTCATTTACGCCGTACCAGTTTTAAATTCCTATCCATTCAACTTGAATTCAAAACAGTTCACTAAGGCTCAAATGTAAATTACGCTAAGGCTAGTAAATCCATTCAATAACGGTTTGTTTTAAAACATTTTCAAAATCTAACTCAGTTATTTTTTTTCCTTCAGCAAACTAGTTCGGTCAATATTCAAAAATAAACGGAAAACAAACAACTCTCATCTCAAACTTCGTATGCCGAAGATATACACTGAAAACGGTACACTACAATTTCTACGACTAAAGAACGAGTCAATCAGGGAAAAATAAAATCACTTGGATTCTGGATTAGGCTCTATACGATAAGCAAAATTATAAAAAAAAGTAAATCCAGAACCTCAAAAACACTTCACTTACGGTTACCAGAATTACAACTATATCACTAAAACGGATCGCACTGGTTGAACAGAACGCCCTTTTAGCTCACCCCGTTACCTCTTGGTACAAGCGGGTACTTCGGTACTACTGTTGGCTGCCAGGAGAGAAGAACGGAAAAACAGACCTTGGTCGCTACGTAATACCGTCCGCCACTGCGAATCTTCTTGACATCGTGACGCCGACGTGGTGCATTTGATTGAATCGAAAGTATTTATATTCGATTCCTTGTGGCGTATCCTATAAAATGAGTATCCACACCCCTAGGGCATCTCATTAGAAAGGGCTAGATCAGACCCTACAGGGTTTCAACTCTCAAAAGGGCCTATAGCCAGTTCTAGCGCCTCCCCGACGACCAGCAGTGCATCAGCTCCGTGCAGGTTGCAATTCTTGCACGCTGACCACCCTAAAGTGCATTTAAACCAGGACTACAACCAAAAGGGACGTTAGTGCCTTTTTGCTCAGTGTCAGGTACCTTACAGGGCCCACAACACCAACAGGCTTGTGTGACAAGTCCTCCAAGGCATCGAGATGTAGAACAAAGACTTCTCACCCGTTATAAGGGCAGCCAGTGCCTCGATACACCAGTTTGGCGTGTTGTTTTCCCCTGCAAATC